TGCCGTGTCCTCAAGAAGGACACGGGTGGGGTTCTCCACATCCACCACAACGTGGAGACTCCCCCTGCACCGACCCCGGTCCTGCCAGCTGAGTGGGGGTCTCCAGAGGCACAGCACCCAATGGAGGACACTGGGAACAAGACAGTGGGGGCCAGGATCAGACCTGAGTGGCAGAGGTGGGCTGAAACCACGGCAACACGGATCCAGGGACTGCTGGTGGAGCTGCATGGGCGGCCATGGCACACCAGAGTCCTGCACATCGAGGCAGTGAAGTCCTACGCACCTCATGTCCATCACCTCGTGTTGGACCTCGAGTGCCGGCCAGCACTGCCCACGTAGCTGGGAATGGGCCCTGTCGGGGCTCCAGCTCCCATGGAATGGTGCTGTCACAGCACCAGGAGCAGTGACAGCCTGGATGTGCCTTATGTCCCCTGCCCAGCCTGGATGTGCCTTATGTCCCCTGCTGCCAGCCTGGATGTGCCTTATGTCCCCTGCCCAGCAGTGCCTCCCTGTGCCCAGAGCACCCAGGGATGTGCTCCCTTGGGAAATCCCTCCAGAATCCAGGTCAAGGATGCAGTGAGATGGGGCTGAGAGCTCCCTGTGTCCTGCCCCGACTCTGCCAGTCTCTGCCCAGATTTTGGACACGTGGTGGCACTTTCAGCCCTGTTTCCACACAGGAGAGAACCACAGGGCTGAAAAACCTCGGGTTCCTGCTGGGTTCATTTCAACAGGTTGGGGACAGGCTTTGTGCTCGTATTTACCAACGTGCTTTTTTATTGTACTGGAAACAGGGCTGTTTATCTTGGCTTCTTCTTAATTTTTCAGAATTAAAGATGTTTCTCATACTTCTTGTTGGTGTCCAGTTAAAATGTGAACACTGGTGCAAGCATGGGGGCCTGGGAAGGCCGGGTCCCAGAGAGGTGTGTGGAGGGGCTCAGAGAGCAAAACCTCTGCTGGCATCCTCTGCCTGCAAGCCCAAAGCCCTCTAAGTATTCTGTGTGTACCCCTGATGGAGAGAACCTCTGCCGCATGAGGGAGCTCCCACTGGCCCTTTGGCGTCCCCATGTTTTTTCTCGTGTCAGTCTCATCTTCTGTCGGGCTGGGAGCCTCTGGCTCTCCAATCCCGTGACAGGGAGCCCCGGGGTGCGGCCGAAAGTGTGGGAAGAGCTGCGTCCTCGCGTTTGCTCAGGGCTGCTCCCAGCTGGCTTCCCCCGCAGGATCTGTGTGGCAAGAAGCCACCTCTCCACTGGTGAGAGCCCCACGCCTTGTCCTGCGGCGTGTGCTCG